GGGGTCCGACTTAGTTATTTGGGAGTTTGGACTCACGTCAGCTTTGATTAGGCTTCGGTCACGTGACGGGAGGTTGACGGGCCAATCAGGGCGAGCGGCGATGCATATAAAGCAGGAGCGAAGGGCGAGCGGGGTACCTGCCGGGAGGATCGGGCCCCCAACCGCCCCGCTCCGGAGGTGAGTACCGCGGGACACGGCTCTGTCCGGAGGATGGAGAGGTGTGGGGGGGACACTTCCAGCTCTCCCAGGAGACCCTCGAGGGATGGAAAGCCCGTGGGGGTGCCCCTTTGTGGGGTGTCCCCCCTCTCTGGCTCCCCAAATCTCCCGGAGCATCCTTCCCGGAGCTGTCAGAAGGTGGTTTCTTGGGGGTAATTCTTGTCCCACAGCCCCTTTTGCCACAACCCACAGCCCTGGGCTGGGAAGGGGGTCCTAGCCGGGACCCAGCAGCCCCCCAAGACTCCTCACCCCGTGGGATCTGGGTGTTCCACCTTCCCAAACCCAAGGGGAGGGTGGGATTTCAGACCCAGCCTCTCCCTACCCCTGGCTTGGGGTTTTCTGGGGGATTTCAGACAGAGCTGGGAGCAGGCTGCCCACAGCTGCCCAGCTCCATGCTACAACCCCAGTAAGCTTTCCTGGCCGTCGATCTTTAGGAAGATTGGTGGCAATGCTGCGTTTAGTTTGCGGGCAAGCAGTGGCTCAGCGCGAGCAACCAGATGATTCAAATCAGGAGGACTCAGCTCTCCTATAGTCAAGCGCTCTGGAAAAGACTGTGCAATAGAAAAAGAGAGGTCCTGTAGTTAAAAGAGCACGTTTCCAACTCCTGGCACACAGGGCAAAAAGCTGAGGGACCTGTTCCTTTCACTCCTGGCTAGCAAAAAAACCCTGCTTTTAACTGCAAGCAGTTTTCCTAAAGTGCAGAAAAAGATGCAGGTGTGGATCAGAAGTTAAACCCAGCTTTCCTGCCCACCGTTGATACTAAGAGCATCTCAAACTACAGGTCCTCTGTGGACCTTCCCTCCTTCATAATGCCTCTTTGGTTTATTACTAAGGTTCCTGCATGCCGGCAGGGATGAATGCTGCAATGTCGCTGGTGGGAAGCCAAGGCGTTGTCTCGGCCACCGAGGTCCTCCTCGCAGCTGCCGTCTTCTGCCTGGTCTTCCTGCTCATCCAGTCCCTCCAGCAGCACGTGCCCAAGGGGCTGAAGAGCCCCCCGGGACCCAGAGGCTACCCCATCCTCGGCAACGTGCTGGAGCTGAGGAAGGACCCACATCTGGTCCTGACCAGGTTGAGCCAGAAGTACGGGGACGTGATGGAGGTGAGGATCGGCACGCGGCCCGTGCTGGTGCTGAGCGGGCTGGAGACCATCCGGCAAGCGTTGGTGAAGCAAGGAGAAGACTTCATGGGGCGCCCTGGCCTCCACAGCTTCCAATACATTTCGAATGGGAAGAGCCTGGCCTTCAGCCCTGACTCCGGGGAGGTGTGGAAAGCCCGCAGAAAGCTGGCCCAGAATGCCCTGAAGACCTTCTCCATTGCCCCCAGCCCCACCTCCTCTTCCACCTGCCTCCTGGAGGAGCACGTCTCCAAGGAGGCCAACTACCTGGTCACCAAATTCCTGCAGCTGATGGATGAGGAGAAGAGCTTTGACCCTTACCGGTACGTGGTGGTCTCTGTGGCCAACGTCATCTGTGCCATGTGCTTCGGCAAGCGCTACGACCACAACGACCAAGAGCTGCTCGATATAGTGAACCTCAGCAATGAATTTGGTGATGCAGCTGCTGCTGGCAACCCCTCTGACTTCATCCCGGTGCTCCAGTATCTTCCCAGCCGCACCATGCAGCTCTTTAAGGACATCAACACACGTTTCAACCTCTTTGTGCAAAAAATTGTCCAGGAGCATTACACCAGCTTTGATAAGGTAAGAGCTTGGATGCTTTTGGATGTGGGTAGAGATGCCTACAACTGCCAGATGTGTTGCCTGCCTGGCAATGAGGGGAAGAAGGTACTCCCTTGTCCCTCTACCTCTGCCCAGGAAAGCTCCTCGGAGCTCTCCAATCTGCAGTTAATCCCCCCAGGAGCCAGCACTGCTGGGGGAGGAGATGTTTCCCCAGCCCTGGGTGTCCATGATGTCCCTGACCCACTGGCTCTTCCCCAGGAGCACATCCGGGACATCACAGACTCGTTGATCGATCACTGCCAGGAGAACGGCATAGAGGAGGATGCCCATGTCCCACTCTCCAATGAGAAGATCATCACCATCGTCAATGACCTCTTTGGGGCAGGTGAGAACATTTCTGAGAGTAAAGCCTCGCTGCTGGGAGGCTGAGTGTGGGGACTGGGGCTGTCGGGGTAAGAACTTGGCCATGCTTGGGTGTTTGGAGGTGCTGCTGGGCTCATGGGTGCTCTCCTGAGTGGTGACCAGAGTTTTTCAGTGATAGCTGATGAGGAACTTCTCCATGGAAAACACCTGGAGTGATGGGGTCTGTAAATACCTGCTCACCTGTCATCTTTTGGTAACTAAATGCCTTTTTTGTGTCCATCCAGGCTTTGACACCGTGACAACCGCCTTATCCTGGAGCCTCATGTACGCCGCCTTGTACCCCGACACCCAGAAGAAGATCCAGGAAGAACTGGGTGAGTCCCTGATCCTGCTTTTTCTGAGGCCAAAACCTCTCTGGCGAGGGCTGACCCCAATCTTCTCCCTCTTCTTGACCTCCCGCAGACCAGACCATCGGCCGGGAGAGAAGACCGAGGCTGTCGGACCGGGGCACACTGCCCTACACGGAAGCCTTTATCCTGGAGATGTTCAGGCACTCCTCCTTCCTGCCCTTCACCATCCCGCACAGGTACGGGCTGGAGCAGCCGACACGTTATTTAAGGGGGGGTTTTTGGAGTGGTTTTCTGCGAGGTGCCATTTAGGCAGCTAATTGCCTGGGAATCGATCTTTGCTATAGGGAAAAATTTGGTGCACGGCCCAAATTACTCATGTTAAAGCTCCCCATGGCTTTCACGCTCACCTCAGGGCGGGCAGCTGCCTGGCTTGCTGCCCTCCTGGGGTCAAATCCTTCACTCTGAGGGTTGTTTTACTCCAAAGCCTTTGCTAACGGAGGCGTGGCGAACATCCATGGGTTTATATTTCTCCCTGCCTTGGGAGAAAGCACATCGCAACTCATCCAGCTTCGCGAAACTGGTATCTTTCTGCTTGAGGAAAAGTGTTAACCAGGACTATTTAGTCTCCAGAGTACAAATTTGGGTGTTTCCTAGCCAGTCCCAAGGGCGCGAATAGGGCATTAAAAAGGAAACGCCCCTAGTTGTCCTGGTTTGAGGTAAAACGGAACCAATTTTCCCAAACCGCGACGCCAGGTCTTGCCAAGCTTTGTTTCTCTGCGAAGCGGCGGGTCTCATCTTAACTCCTCTTCCCCTCCACCGGGATTTCTTTCAGCACGACAAAAGCGACGGTGTTGAACGGCTATTACATCCCCAAGGACACCTGCGTGTTTATCAACCAGTGGCAAGTGAACCACGATGAGTGAGTATACCGATTTCCCCCCCAGCGCTCAGCCAGGCTGCGATGGTTTTGCTCGGCGCTGAGATGGCTCTGATCCTTTAGAGCAACGTGCCGAAAGCCAAACGGATCACAAAGGCAGGAAAAAAAAAAAAAAAAAGGCAAAAGGGGACCAAAAATTGCGTGGGTTCCATGCCAAGATCAGCCTCGGGTCTGCTGGGTGTGGAGCTGCTCTGGGTTGACTTGATCACCGGTTGAGCAACTTCCCAACACCCGGTTTACGGGCAGTAACGTGGTGACGTCTTCAGTGCCCCGGACTTTTCCACGTACACGCGAGGGTTGGCAGCGTGGGCTGCCGAAAAATCAGGGGTGGGTTAGATCCTCCTGCCAAGCAGCCCTTGTGATCCGGGTGGACGGCTCTGCGTGCGCTCAACGGGAACCGCCTGGTTCCCTCTTTTGGGGAGGAAAATGTCCCAACGTGACTCTCGTTAAACTCAACGGGCTGGTGTCGTGATTGCTGATAATCAGCTTTGGGGATCAGGAAACCGAAAGCCCATCTTATCCCTCCCCTGCTTTCCAGTAGAGACCCTCCTGGGGGAGAAGCAGGTTCATTAAGGTTTGATACAGAAGGTGATTCCCAGATTTTGGATCAAAAGCTCAAGACCTTTGTATCCAAATAGCCCAGCAGCTCAGAAATACTGCAATATTCTTTCTGCTCCTGCGTAGGCCTGGTGAGTGTTGCAATGGGAACGCTGTCCTTAGCGCCAGAGAGAATTCCCCAGATCCAAGCAGAAATCCTCAGTTAAGCCACTGGAAAATCCCACCCGGCACCTCCCAGCAGCTGGGCTGGGACAGGCTGGGAAGTTCTGCTGGGAGGGATTCAAGGTGGGAAAACCCTCAGGTCTCCATCCATCCTTTTTTTAAGAGGTGCTGACCGATTTCTGTGCGCCGACCTTCTTTTTCTCCTTTCGGCTGAAGCTGCAGGATCCCTAGCTATTCTCTGCGGAATTAAATCTCTGGTATCTGCACAGGCAAACACAATCCGAGTTAGAAAGAGGGGTTTCAACAGAGTGAGCTGATGGGATCTGACACCCGGTTGGCGTTTCAGATCAGGGACAGAGGTTGCCAAAGCTGGGTTTTTTTTCAGTGGTGGAGTGGGAAAGCACTGCAATGCTGCTCTCCGTGAGGAGTTTGGGTTTTTTTGACTGCTCTCCCCATCACGGTGGGTGAAAACGGCTTCCTCAGGTGTCTCTCCTTTCTGCTCCAGGAAGCTTTGGAAAGATCCCTCAGCCTTCAAGCCCGAGCGGTTCCTCAACGCTGCAGGGACTGAGATAAGCAGGACGGAGAGCGACAAAGTGTTGACTTTCGGCTTGGGGAAGAGGCGATGCATCGGGGAGGCCATCGGCCGGTGGGAGGTCTTCCTCTTCTTGACCACCATGCTGCAGCAGTTGGAGTTCAGCCTCTGCCCCGGGGTGGAGGTGGACATCACTCCTCAGTACGGACTGACAATGAAATATAAGAAATGCGAGTGCTTCCAGATTAAGAAGCGTTCCCCGTGAAGGGCTCGCCATAAGCTGCGGGAGGAAGCGTCGCTTCGCAGAAGAAAGCCATTCCTTGGCGTGGGACGCTCAGCCTGCTTTCGCTAACGCTCTCTAGAAGCCAACACAAAGCCCCGCGCTGTGTTGCTTCACTGGAGGCTTGTTCACCTCATGTAAACGCGAGCGGGGAAAGATAAAGGCAGCTTTGTCGGGCTCCTCGCAGCCCCCCTCGCCAGCTCCATCGCCCTCAGAAGAGCTCAGCAGAGGTCCAACCCGCTCATCCCTCTTGGGGATGAGGTCCAAGGGGGACCGCAGCCCCGCGGTGGGGATGCTTCAGGCTGGGAGAAGCGGTGTGAGACGGCGGTAGGGGTGTCCTCCCCCTGCCTGGTGCCGCGGGCAGAGCTGGAGCTGCCGCGGGTAACTCTCTCCATCCTCCAAATAGGAACGAACCCGCCGAGAAACCCGGCCGGCCTTTTCCCACGGGGCGAAGGTCTTTCAAGCTCGTTAGGTAGAGCGGTTTGCCAACCCTTCAGCTCCTCGTGCCGAGGGGCTCGGGCTCTTTCCAGCCACCTGCTGGAAGGGCTCTCGAGGCGATGCAGAGACCAGACCCACCCCTGCGCCAGTGCCCGTCCCGAGTGGACTCGTTCCGGGTGCACCCTCGCACAGCTAAATTCCCCGAATGTGTATCAATTAAATGAATCCCTGAGTGTTTCTACCAATCCTCGGTGACAGCCTGATTACCAGAAAAAAAAAACCAGAAATAAATTACACGTACCCATAAGTAGTGCTGAGATTTTATTAGCCAAACTCCCAACAAGAAGCCTCCTGGAAAATAGCAAAGGATTGAGAATAAGGGACCAGAAGCAGTAAAAGGCACAGCAGAATATTTCTGGCTTTCAGGGCTGGTTTTGATTCATTATTATCTTTATTTTTTTTTTTAGCAACCAAGCAATAGATTTCTATAGTAAAAGGGGCAAAGGTTTGAGAACCGCAGGAGATGCGCTGCTTCGTATTGCAGTCCGCTTTAGCCGGCGTGAAGGCGAACTCCCTCCCGTCTGCTGCGATATAAACCGCACGGTGTTTCTAACCCAATAAATACTTACATGGAAGTTCCTTGCTGGTTTTATTCCACTGGGAAAAGATTTGGGGTGGGACAAGGGGGCCCGACTCCGCACCTCTTCTTCACCCCTAAAAAATTTGACTTGGATATGTTGGTTTTTCCTTTGGGGACAGGAGCTGGTTGTTCTTTTACCGTGGGGCTGTGACACCAGTGGCTTTAGGGGGGGAGTTTTTAGTCCTCATGGGTGCTGCGTCTGGTCCCCTCCGTGTGTATATGGTGAAGGTAAATCCTCAGCTGTGATTTGCGGAGAGGCGATGCCAAGCTCCGGCTCAGTTCAGGGTTTCGCTAAAAATCAGGACTATCCCTGAAAAAAAAACCCAAACCACAACGATTAAATCGCTTGAAAACAGCCTTTCACGACCCTTTCACACAGGTGATGATCCATGGAGGGATGCTTCAGGCCATCGCCTGCTCCGCGCTTCCCCATCTCAGAGCATGTTTATTTCCAAGGCTTTGCATAACCTCCCTTAAAAAAAAAAATAAAAAAGGTAATAAACATTAAATTTCCACGCAAATAATAAAGGAGCTTATGGAAAATTGGGGTGTGTGCTTACCTGAAACGGCATCCCTGCGGGGTTCCCAGCTTGGTGGGGTAGGAAACCACTCTTGCCCCACAGGCACGTTTTCCTCAGGCAGGAATATTCAGCCAAGCCCTCAAATGGGGGTGTAACATCAGGATTTGGGGCAAAATTAAGTCTTCTGCTGAACATCGTGCTCCTCTGCAAACCCCTGCACTGGGATGCTTTGCGGCACCAGCTCCTCTCTTGCCCCGTGTAAGGAGAAAATCAAAATGAGTGCAGAAAGGTTAATATTTGACTCCGTCCATCACTGGGACATAAAGGATAGATTAATAATTCAGTGGCTTTTTTAATGGCTACCCATAAACTGCCACCCGAGTGCCACATGCTGTGTACCACGGAGTTATTTTTCATTTCGTGGCTGTGCCGTGGAAAGGTCGCTCTCTGGAAGAGGAGCCTTCCTCCCACCGTGACCTCGCTCGCCTTCGCGTTATTGTTACCGACTGCTATCTTAATGAATTAGTTTTTAATTAGTGTCCCCGGCGCAGCCTGCCCTTTAGCTCGGGAAGGTCAGGCGGCACAGGGATCCAGCACCCCACCCGCTCCTTCCTCCCAGTAACGAGCAAAACAGCCCCGGGCTTTGGAGTGGGGAAAAGCTGGTTTTAATGGAGCCGAGAAGAAAGCGGGAGATGGATGTGATGATGCCTCTGCCAGTGAGTCGGAGGGAGGTGATGGAGGTGTGCTGGAGGTGTGACGGAGGTGTGACGAAGGTGTGACGGAGGTGGTGGAGATGTGATGAAGATGATGGAAGTGTGATGGAGGTGATGGAGGTGTGTCAGAGGTGATGGCGGTGTGTCAGAGGTGATGGAGTTGATGGAGAGGTGATGGAGGTGATGGAGGTGATGGAGGTGTGTTGGAGGTGATGGTGGTGTGTTGGAGGCAATGGAGGTGATGGAGATGTGATGGAGGTGATGGAGGGATGATGGAGGTGATGGAGGTGATGGAGGGATGATGGAGGTGATGACGGTGTGTCAGAGGTGAGGAAGGTGTGATGGAGGTGATAGAAGGGTGATGAATGTGATGGACGTGTGACGGAGGTGATGGCGAGGTAATGGAGGTAATGGAGATGTGATGAAAGTGGTATGATGGAGGCGATGGGGAGGTGATGGAGGTAATGGAGATGTGATGAAAGTGTGATGGAGGTGATGAAGGTGATGGAGGTGTGACAGAGGTGATGGAGGCGACGGAGGTGTGATGGAGGTGATGGTGGTGTGTCAGAGGTGATGAAGGTGATGGAGGTGCGATGGAGGGTATGATGGAGGCGATGGCGGTGTGTTGGAGGTGATGGTGGTGTGATGGAGGTGATGGAGGTGTTATGGAGGTGATGGTGTGATGGAGGTGATGGACGTATAGAAGGTTGGTGAAGGTGGAGGTGTGATGGAGGTGATGGACGTATGATGGAGATGATGGTGGTGTGATGGAGGTGATGGAGGTGTGATGGAGGGGTGATGGAATTGACGCAGGTATGATGGAAGTCCTGGAGGTCTGATGGAGAGGTGATGGAGGTGTGGTGGTGATGGAGGAGACTGAAGAGTGATGGAGGTGTCACGCAGATGTAACAGAGGTGATGGAGGGGTGATGGAGGTGGGACAGCGGTGATGGAGGTGTGACAGAGGTGAGGACATTCGGCAGTTGGCGGTGGCGGACCCGTGACGGCGGTGACAGAGCTCAGGGAGGCGGCGGAACGCTGACACACATCGGCGCCGGTAGCGGAGCGGCTCCACGGCCGCCCGCACTACGCATGCGCCCGGCGCCGCACGCGGGGTGCCCCGTTCCCCTCCGCGCATGCGTAGAGCGCAGCCGGCGCCTGCCGCCGCGTTACCGCGCATGCGCCAACGCGTCCACTCCTCCACGCCTCTATATGGTC